CTCCGGTGTGATTTTTTGGGGGTAATAAAGCGTCTTTGCAGGTAAAATGCGAGTGAGTTATAGGGTGTTGGTGGCACCTGAATGTTGCTGGCTGGGAGGGGAAGAGGAAAAAGGAAAGGACTGCTAAAACCATCCTCCCTGGCACAGGCAAAGCATGAGAAGGACCCGGCGAAGCCTCCTGCCCGACTAAGACCAGTGGGAACCCAGCGTGTGCCCACCAGCACTTCTTGCTGGGGCTTCTGCATTTTTGGACCTCCCCTTCTTAAGAGGTCCAGCCACATTGGTTGTCTCTCCACCACCCTCCCCGGGGCCCCCAGCCACCTCCAGGGCAACACCAGAACCACAGACTCCAGAATGCAGCACTACACAGCAGGACCTGGCTATGCGGCGCTGTGCTGAACTTCCACGGCCCGGCCAGGCCAGGACCCAGGCCCGCCAAATGCCAGAGTCACAGCCTGGCTTAACCTTGGGGTGTGCGGGCACAGAACACACTTAGCAGCTGCCTGTGGTCTCCACTCCCACCTTCTTGCAGCTTGAAGAGTTGTCTTCCTGGACTCCCTGGCCAGCCTTCCCTGGCCCCAGCACCCAGCACCCCCGCCACCCCGGGAGGGACCCCGATGAGCAGAGGCATCTCACCGGGGCCAGGCTACGGATCACACGCACACACAACAGCCCATTGGTGCAGACCACGGTCCTAACATCCAAATAATCATTTCACAAATTATAATGATTATCAATCAATCATCCTCTGTGGACAGTGCCAGGCTGGGCTATCAGATGGCTTTTATGACCTGTAGCATTTTGCATGTAATGATGGGGGAGAGATTTATGGAGCCATCAGGCTCCCTCTTCCAGCACCGGACTTCATTAGCTTTCTTTCCTTCGGACTCCCCGTGCACCCCTCGGCCCCCTGCCCCCCAGAGCGCCGGCTGGGTGGCACCTTTCTCCTTCCGGTCCTAGCCCTACTGATGCAAATCCCTGAGTTTTGGCGGGGTGGGGGCAGACAGAGGAGGGGAGGAGAAGAAAAAATAAAAATAAAAAAAGGAAAAGGTCACTTCCTTTTGTTTGCTTTTCCCCCCAGTTGTACCGTATTAACACGTCCTTCCTTTTCAAGATGGTCAAAGAAAACAAGATAAAGTGGGACAAAGGGAAGGCGGCCGGGGGCTTGCGTGTCCCCTTTTCATATCACCAGAGAGATTAAATCAAAATTCTTTTAGCTGATACCATCTCCCCGGGTGGACTACACTCTTGTTAAGGGATAAATTCAAGCCCTCCAGAAAGTCAAAGAATAAATTTAAGCCTTTTGCCAAATGTCTATCCTATTGGATTTTGATAAGACGGCCATTGAGCCTTAATAATGTCTTCCATCCATTTTCAGCGGGCCCTTAACACGGCTCTTTATTCGTCCCCAAAGCCTCTTCGTTGGGCCTTTTTATTACAGGCTCCAGCGGGCTCTCCAGGGAGCCGGGCGACCCGAGTGACGGATGGACAACTCGCTAGATTATCTCCCGCAGATGTTTGCTCTGCAGGAGCCCCGGGCTTTCCCTCTAAGTAAACAGAGACGAAATAGAGTCCTTCGGAGGGAGCAGTCCCAGAGGTCCGGGCGCCGACGCTGGAAGAGGCCACGAAGCCCGACCTGCAGACCCGCAGTCAAAGTGACTTCGCGGGCAGCAGGGGCTCCGCGCCCAGAGCGCACACCGGGGCGGTTGCAGGGATGGCGAGGGCGCCGGGCGGCGGCGGCGGAGAGCACGGGTCCCCAATCTCACCAGCACCAAAGCTCTGGGCTGCGCGCCTCGCTGGCTGCGCCGGGGACCGTGGGCGGTGGAAGAACGCGGGCGCAGGGGACGGAGAGGGGTGCGGGACTGCGGGGGACACAGAGCACGCGGGTCGGGACGGAGGGATGCAGGCGACCCCCGCCCCACGGAGGGGCACCGCGGCGGGGATGCGGGTCCCGGGACCTGAGGGGCGGGGCCGAGCCTGGCGCGGCTCACAGGTTGTGGCCGCTGTCACTCCCACGGGAGCCCCGCCCTGCACCGCAGGCCCAGCCGCCCGCGCCTGGGTTCGAATCCCGCCTCCGCTGAGAGTGTGGGCACAGCCCACCTCCCTGGGCCGGGGCCTGGTCTCCTGTCTGCGCCCCGACAGAGGGATTCCGCGGCGCATCCAGCAACCTGGCTCGCTAATGCTTAGAATTTATAACCGGGACTTCCCCACAAAATAGCACATTTTCTGTAACTGTGTCAAACCACTGATTGCATTAATTACCTTTTGTTGCACTTCACTGATGCACATAAAGATCAGGAAGTATCATCATCCTCAAGACCGAATGACGAGCTGGAGATGTCAAGTGACCTACCCACAGCCCCCCCGCGATTGCCCACGGTATTGTAAGGCTCCCAAACGAGTGGGGGAGGAGAGGCCCAGTTCAGCCAGACGTAAAACCCCCAAACCACAAAACTGATAAATGGGGTCTACATCCTCTTGCCAAGGAATTCACTCAATGTGTCCTTCAAACAGCACGCCGAGACGTGTGGTCATAGCCTGTAATGTGTGTGTGCGCGCGCATAGACCTCCACAGCTGTAAGTAACACAGACATCGGTAAGGTGGGACCTGCTTTTTGGAAGGAAGGTCAAATGAACATTTACTCATTTTCCAGCCTCAGGGCATGAACCCATTTGGCTTTGCATTTTCGCTCCTGTCTCCCTCCCTTCCGGATTGTCTGGGCATGGAACCGTCACCCGATGGGTCCAGAGCTAAGCACCATGGTTAGGTTTTGATCATCCCACCAATCTGACCCTGGGCACCCATCTCGTCACACTGAATGCCCCAAATGCTGATAATGTCTAAGTTCCGCACAAGGCTGGAAAAATCCCAGAATTCAGTGGATGGCTGAGGGCTGTGCGGTGGCCTCTCGGTGTGGGGAGGGGTGTGCGTGAGGACGTGGGAGGAGCCCCCTTGCGGTCTGCAGCCTCCCCCTGCAACAGGGGCCTTCGGGGTGGTAGGAGGCAGAGGTGCCGGGCTGGGAGTCAGGAGGCCTCTTTCCAAACGGCCGGCCGGCCGCCAAGGCCCCCTTTGCTCTGGCGCCTGGGCCCCCTGAGTGTCCAGCTGCCGTGGGCACTGGGTCAGTTTGGATTCTGTGCAGAGAGGGAACCTCAGACCGCTCCGCCAGGCCTTACAAGGTTTTGTGTTTGAGGGGATGCCTGCGCCAAGCATTGTGTGCGGGTCTCTGTCGGCGTGGCACCGTCCACCCATCCCCTGAGCAGCTCTCAGGAAAGCCCTCTGACCAGGTCAGCCAGGGCCCGATGGGCTGACGGTTTAGAAAAGGAAAAGGCACATCAGGGGCCGTGGTGCTCCGGGAGCAGAGTGGACGTGCTGACTGGGGTTCTCCCCGGGCGCATATCGTCATGGCTCAAAAGTATCCAGCCCCGGCCTCCTCATCATCTTCACATTTAGAATTAACTTTTTTGGCTTCTGCCTCGACCCTTGTATCCACACCAGACAACCGACTGCTCGTCCCACCATAAATATGTCACCTCTAACCTCCCACCAGTTCACCCCACCGTTGGGGCAAGTCCCACCTGCGTCACCTGCTCATCTGCTTGTTCATAGTGAGAAAAACGAAGATTCCGTGTTCTCTCTAGAGGTTAAGACACTGGACTTGACTGCGGGGCCTTTTTTGGGGGGACAGGAAAGACTTCAATTCTTTGAAATATGGGAAAGCTGTTTGAAATCTCTTGCTACCTTACATCCTTTAGGGAAGTCCGGGTTTGTTCCCAGAGGCAGGAGGAGGGAAAGGGGGCTGTTGGGAGGGATGTCATGTTTTAAGGAAGAAAGGCTTCAGGCTGCCCTGGCAGTGGGGCTGGGACAGGCGGGCACCGGCCAGACGCAGACCATGGGTTATGGGCGAGAATGAGCTAAAAGATCACCCCTAGCCAGAGCTCCTTCAGGAAGTCCCTGCAGGGTCAGAAAATGCCTCCCTTCACAGGGTTTTCTCCAAAATCAGTATTTGTGGGGTTGGACCTGGCGAGAAGGGGCAGGTGCCCCCCTTACGGAGCGCTCTGCCCAGAGTCCTCGGCTCAGACCATCAAGCCGGGCGCGGGGAACACCTGAGATGCACCTCGGGCTCCCCCAGCAGAGGCTGACCGTCCCTGCAAGCATACATCCCGCGATGCTGAAAGGGAGCCAACCCAGGGCCCGGGCGTCGGGACACCGTCTGGGCATCCTCGGCGGGTGCCCCTCTCCGCCTCGCCTGAGAGTTGCTTTGAGGCGAGCACGAGAGAGAGCACTGTCCTAATTCTATGGAAATGCCAAAGAGGGGTTCAGCTACTGTGCTGAGCGTGGGTGTGCGTGTGCCCTGCGTTTGTGCGTGTGTGTGGGTGCCCGGACCGGGTGGGCGCTGAGCGCTGACGAACCGCTTCTGGGCCCCTCCGTTTATTGGGTTTTTTTTGGGGGCCTAGTTTACTTTCTGGATCTTGTAGAGCTAATGTTTGCGAGTCTCCGTCACCCGCCAGGAGGGCAGGAGACAACGCCCACGTGGACACTTTTCCTTTCACCTGATCGGCTGCTTATTCACGCCCCGCCCGAGCCCTCTTTGGAGGCTGAGTACAGCTCAGGCTTTGTGGAATTTGCAGCCAATTGTGGTTTTCCCCCCGCTCTCCGTATTCTTTTCATGTGAGTATCCAGTGGAGATGGTTAAACAAACATGACCTGTGTTTATTTAATTTTCCTGCGTCTGCGTGGCCTGAGCATTCCCACGGGGGAGACTCTCCCCGTTCTCAGGAGTTAGGGTTGGTTCAGGGCAGTGACCCCCTACCTGCTGACACAATGCAAACCAGCATCCGTCCTAACGTCATCAGAACCCCTGTCCTGTGCATGCGCTCCACCACACACAACGCATCGCTCACCAACGGCGGGCCGTGCCATGGACCTGGCCACGCGCACGCTAGCTCAGGATCGCACGCGGGCCACGGCGAGGGAGAAGGTGTGGGACCAGCTCTCCTACCTTTTGGATGCAGCCCTCCTGGGACGACACTTCTGTATCAGTCAGCATGTGCTGCAAAACAATTGTGAAAGGGGAGGTTAGTGTCTGGCGAACAAGATGCCGTCCTCAGGCTGTAAACCGTGGGGCAGAGCCAATGTTCTCAGAAATGACAAGGGTGAGACCTCGTGGCTTCTCCACAACATGGAAGACAGTGCTCTGTTGGGAAGTCGGGTCCTTTATCCCAACGGTGTCTCCTCGTTTGCTGAGAACGCCAAGGACCCCTCCTGGACGCCAGCTCCCCGGGAAGACAGCTGGCTCCTTGTGGGGCAGGAGTCGCTCTGAGCAGCTCACCCTGGTCCTTAAGGGAAGCCACACATATTACCAAAAACCGTCCAAGAGGGGCGGGAAGGCATTCTGAGACGGGCAACAGCCTCTCTCCCTGTGCCCTCTGACCCTGCCTGCGAGCCGCGCAGCCCTGCAGGGTGAGCGGGAGGGCTTGGGGCACCGTGCAGCCCGCGTGGGGCTTGCAGTCTACCTGGGGAGGCAAAGCCGGGCTGAGCAGCCCGATTCACCGCACAGGGAGCCGCGGTGGAGGAGGCAGGGGCAGAGGGCGGAGGTGGGCTGGCGGGGCTGAGCCTGGATGCCATCTCTCCACTGCTTCTCCTGGGGCAGAGCAGAGGGGGCAGCATGCTAACTTGCTCTTTATCCCAGGCCCCTGGGAAGTGGATGTGGTTTTTGGAGGAAGCTTCTCAAAGGAAATCAGGCGAAGGCAGAACCCAGCAGTGCCCGCGGCACAGAAGCACCCTAGGGTGGCCAGTGATGACCGGCCCCTCCAGCCGCGGCGGGGGGCTCCTACGGCTGCGCCAGGAGCTCCGGCCCTTCCCTCTGCCGCCAACACGGGCTCGGGTTAGCGAGGAGAGAAAGTACCAGCCGTTCTGGGTCTTTCTCCCACCTGACAATTCTGACTCGGGGCTTTTCTCAGCTAGGCTTTGCAGAGCTGTAGAATTTCGCCTGCCTGGTGACTCCTCTTAAAAACCACCGAGCTGCACTCCAGAGGGACGGCATTTCAGGGACGGGTCCCAGAGTGCTTTCTAAGCTAAGCAAACTGACAAATTAGCTGTATAAATGGGATTTCCCCCTCTGGATCACAAATGCCGGGCATAGACACATATATAAATTGTAACATCGTTTCCATAAGAATAGAAACCGAGTTGGAAACTAATATTTGAAAAACAACACGAGAAATGGTGTCAAATCCAGGGGTTTTATTTGCCCTCCCCTTAAAATTACACTACCGCTCTTCCAAATTACCAGCCAGGAGTGCAGAGTGCCCTGCCATGCCCACGCAGGTCGGGTGAGGGGCCCGGGCGCACGTCTGCCCGGCTCAGCTGTAACAACAATAAGTCATACTTTTTTTTTTTAAGATTTTATTTATTTATTTGAGAGAGAGAATGAGAGAGAGAGAGCACATGAGAAGGGGGAGGGTCAGAGGGAGAAGCAGACTCCCCGCTGGGCAGGGAGTCCAACGCCGGACTCGATCCCGGGACTCCAGGATCATGACCTGAGCCGAAGGCAGTCGCTTAACCAACTGAGCCACCCAGGCGCCCAATAAGTCATACTTTTAAATGTTGAGAATTCTAAACAGTTGGGAATTTTATGTTTCTTCTAATAGATTCTGAAATTGTGGTTTGGAAGGTGGTCATAAGTACGAAAGGAACGAGTCGGAGAAGGTGAGCACCACGGAGACCGTGGAGGCCTCCCGGGGCATCCGCGAGGCGCCAGGTCATCTGCGGGCCGGGCTGGAGGGGCCCGTGGGAGGTCAACCCCGATGCTGGGGGCCGAGTCTGGCCAGCAGCAGGGCCTGTGTTTTTACTCTCTCGTGTGTCTGCTCTCCACTCCGAATCCAGAGCCAGGAATGCTGGTCGGTGGCTCGGTCGACTGGCAGAGGGGAAGAGAGAACGAGGCCGACCGCCTGGATCTCAGCCGAGCTGTGGCTTCCAGAAAGGGGCCGTGCTCACCGACGCCCAAAGGCCAGAGATGGGGTCTACCCTCCCGCGAGGGGCTGCCCAGGCCTGCGCCCGGACACGGCCAGCCAGCAGGACGGAGGCCACTGTCAGCCTCACACAGCACGGGAGGCTCATGCTTGGGTTACGGGGTCCCTGGGACCGGATGGACCTGCCCCTCATGGACGGGGCAGCTTGATCCAGAAGGACAACACTGCGCTTTAAGTTTTTGAGGAGTGTAGTGCCCGGGGCACCGCCCACGACCATGGGAGGAGAGCGCCCCGTGCCCGTTCCTGGGAGCTCCTGAGCCCTGAGCCGTGTCCCCTCTGGACCGAGGTGCGGACACCTTGCGGTCGCCCAGCAAAGACAGGGAGAGCATCCTGCCTGTGTCAAGGCCAGCACGCGACTCTCGTTGAGGATCCGTTTGCAAGCTGGCCTTCTCCAGCTTGCGTCCGCCCCTGCACGGAGTCCGCGCTCGTTTCTAACCTGCAGCGCGAGCGCTGACTTCAGGCTTCTGGAGCCGCCTTGTCTGGAAGGCGACAGAGGCTCGGAGGGCTGTGGCCTGCCCGAGGCACCCGAGGCTGTGCTGAAGGCAAAGCCCTGAGCTCGATTTTGGGTGGAATCCCGCCTAGTTTGGCTCCAGCCCAGGGCACGGCCCTGGGTCTGGTGAAAGGGATGCCCCCACCCCACGGTGGCCCTGGGGTTCCCCTAGAGTACAGAAGAAAGTTGGGGTGCTTCCTTGTGGTTCATGCTGCAGCTGAGCCTCCAGCAGCAGATGGATGCCGAGGCCCCATCAGCAATGTGGTGTTCCCGGGGCCAGCGCCGGCTCACAGCTCCCCCCTCGCACACCCATCCTGGGCCCAGAGGCGGGGGCGGGGACTGCAAGCGGGCGTTGGCTGCCCTCTGGTTGGACATTAGCAAGGAGGCCCTGTCTGCTTCCTGGTGAGGAAGAGGGTGTGTTGCTGGGAGCTCAGGCCCGACACCCAGCTTTCTTCTCCCAGGCGGTAGGTCATGGAGAGCTCCGGAGAAGACAAGGAAGCCGCTCTGTCAGCCCACAGGAGGGTCATCCGGGGGCCCTGACAGCACCATGGCCGCACACAGACCCCTCTGGTCTCCAGCCTGCTCCGTCCTGAGCTCAGGGCGGGAGCCACCCTCCCTCTGCCAGTCGGCCCCTCTGCCGGCCTGCGCGCCATCCCTGCCATGTTTCACTTTGATTTTTGGTGGCCCTGATCTTCTGTCCTCCCTGCTCCCCAGTGGGGAGTGTCCAGGGCAGAGGCCCAGCCTGCAGAGAGAGGCAGCTGGGGGCCCGCGGCTCCGGCCCCCAGACAGCGCATGGCAGCCTCTGTCTCTGAAGGTGGCACGGACCGTGTGCCCACAGTGTGGGAGTCTCGGTCCCGTGGGCTCCCTGACCAGCGTCTGAGGCACCTGACCAGCTGGCCCACTCCTGGTTCAACCAGAAGCACTGCGTCAAACACCGGCAGGAGAGCCTTTCCGAGGAGAGCCTGGCCATTTTCCATCACGCCTTGCAGGTGGGGTGCAGCCTCGCTCCCCAGAGCTTCGTTGTCCCTTACACAGCCAGCCTCTGTCCAGGACCACCATGTTCCACAAGCCTCGGGCTGAGGGTGGCCAGAACCCCTGCCTTTCGTCTGAGGCTAAGAGTGGCCAAACGGGATGGAGCATCCCAGGAAATCCACCTGTCACACGGCCTCGAGGGTCTTCTCTGCATTCTGGGAAGAGTCCCTTGAGGTCTGTGCACCAGCTCAGAGATGGTGGCCACCTATCCAGGAGTCCGTGGTCAGATGGGGACATGGAGACAGGCATTCAGACCACACTGTCCCTAATAGGTCAGGTTGCTATGCATGGCACACGGAGCGAGAGCCCAGACGGACCGGAGCGCATCCATGCAGAGCAGGGCTGGGCGGGCCCAGGGTCTTGCACCGCTCCCCACCTGGGTCCTCGGCCCCCTTCCGGCTGCAGTGTGGCCGCCCGGAAGCCCAGCCGCAGGACCACAGGTGACCCGGAGGAGGCCCCCACCCCTTCACGTCATGCAGAGAGGGAAGAAGCCCTGCAGGACTTCGAAGACAGGACTGCCCCTCTCAGAGCGGAGGTCTGAGTCTGGTTCTGGGAGGCCCGTTCCAGCAGCTTCTCTCTACCTGCCCTGTTTAACAGCCCGCCTTGGCAGGCACCCTCATCATCATCGGCTATTCACCCACCACTGACCTTGGGTAAGAACCCACCGGACGCACCCCTCCTGGAGCCTCTCAGCCCAGGCCTTCCCGCCAAGGCTGCCGCTTTGCTGAAAAACCTCTTTATTTTGCTAGCTGAGCCTCCGCGCGCGCGTTGCCGGCCCGTCGGCTGTTGGCAGTAGCAGGGGCTGCTCCCGACCCCACCTCCACACCCCGGCAGAAGTATTAGGTGTGTTTTGATTAAGCATTTTAGCCAAAAAAGGGGAGGTTTGACCTCTGGCATTTCTCTTCTCTCCCGGGTCTCGGTGCCAGGATTGAGCTAAGTGGGGTTGGTCAAAACATCTTTTTTGACTCTTAAAATAAATACCCTCTGTTCTCCAGAAAGTCAGCCGAGAGTAGACACACACAGACATCTCATACACTCACAGCTCTGGAGTTCTGGCGTGTCCCCCGAGGGGGGCTAAGCTTTCTGGTCGGTGTCACAAATGGATCCCAGAAGGCTTCTTTCCCTTCAAAATACTGTTATTGAAGTATCTGAAACCATGCCCACAGGAGGGAGCCCCGATGGAGCCCTGGCCTCCTGGCCTCCAAAACCAGAAAGAAGCCGGTGAAGTTCCCCCTGCCTGGCCTGGGGCCTGAGACGACCCCCAGCACTCTCGTTTACTGACCTCCCACTCCTGGCCCTTGAGCCAGACGCCCTCCAACCTGTTTCTCCCTTGTTGGTGTTGGTGTTCTCCACACAACGGTGTGGGGCTGGGTCTGGAGTGGCTTGAAGTTGATTCCTAGGCCCCTCCCCTGGAAGGAGCTGCCATGGGTGGGGGTCACGGCACTGGATTGTGCCGTGAGGGCAGGCCAGGGCCCAGGTGGTTGGTGGAGACCCCTC